GGGACCGCGACCGGGACCGGGACCGCGACCGGGACCGCGACCGGGACCGCGCCCGCTCTGCCCCAGCTGGGGAAGGCGTCCGCGCTGCCCGGCTGGGACAGGGTCGCCGAAGCCCGGGAATGTCCCGTAGAAGCCCGGGAATGTCCCCTAGAAGCCCGGGAATATCCCGTAGGAGCCCGGGAATATCCCGTAGGAGCCCGGGAATGTCCCGTAGGAGCCCGGGAATAGCCCGTAGGAGCCCGGGAATATCCCGTAAAAGCCCGGGAATATCCCGTAAAAGCCCGGGAATGTCCCGTAGGAGCCCGGGAATGTCCCGTAGGAGCCCGGGAATATCCTGTAGGAGCCCGGGAGTGTCCCGTAGGAGCCCGGGAATATCCTGTAGGAGCCCGGGAGTGTCCCGTAGGAGCCCGGGAATAGCCCCCGCAGCAGCGACGCAGCGTGAAGGGGCCGGCGCTTGTGCCCCGCGGCGGCTTCCCTGGCACCCTCGTTTCTCCGCCGCCTACGGAGGCGCTCGGTTCTCGGAGACGATCGCGCACACSCATGTCATCTCCTGGAGCTAGTGGCAGTGTAGCGCACCTTGGCGTGCGCGCGTGCCCGCTGTCCCTCTGGGGTCCCTGGGGGTGGTTCCGAGACCCCTCGTGGTCCTCTYTCCGTGTCCATTTGACGACCTCCAGGCCATAGGGCTTCGTTTTGGCGCAGAAGGCCCAGTTTTGGTCCTGCTGCCCTGCCCCAGCCAGTTCCTTGGAGATACGGTGGTCCTTGTCTTCACCTTCAGCCGGTGTTTGCTGTTCCRCCCGTGGTCTCTCGTGGTGTCCCGGGAACACCTGCTGTTTTGTCCGTGTTTTCTCATAATATCCCAGCAACAACAACGAAAACATGCCCTGGGGTGCGTTTTCTTCAGGGGTTTCTGCTAACCCAGGCCCGAGGCGCCGGCCACGTGCGGCCCGCTCCGAACGGGTGCCAGGGATTCTGTGTACGTGCCGTTSTGTTCCACTTGTTTGCTTGTGTCCCCCTCCCCACCCTCCCATCCTCATGAGGCGGGGGGGAGACAGCACAAATGCCCAGAGAGCCCCCGAGGCCACAGCACGTGGGAGGCCCAGGGAGGCCGCACAAAAGCCTGGCGGGTCCCCAGTGCTGTGCGCCCATGGATGCCCAYGGAGGCTGCACGGAGGCACGGAGGTCTCATGGGGCCACGTGTGCACAGAGGCGCCGGGAAGCTGCGCTAAACCCGAGTGGTCGCCTAGAACCCGTGTGCGCAGAGGCCTGGAGAGGCCCGGGTGCGGATGGAGGCTGGGGAGGCTGCACCAAGCTCAGAGGGAACATGGGGCCATGYACGCACTGAGGCCCCTGGTAGGGCTCATGAAGACTGGGGGGCTCCTGGGGCACGTGAGTACGGAGGGCTGGGGAGGCAGCATGAATGTACAAAGAGATCGCGAGGCCACGTGCGCACAGAGGCCTGGGGAGACCGCACGAAAGCCCGCGGGGAGCCCTGCGGAAACTGTGCACGGAGGCCGGGGAGGCCGCGCAAAAGTGTGTAGGGCCGCTGGGGCCAGCAGGGCATGGAGGACTGAAAAGGTTGCACAGAAGTCTGCAGAGCCCCCAGGGCCACGTGCGCACGGAGGCCTAGGGAGGCTGCAGAAACGCCTGTAGGGACCCTGGGGCCACGTGCACACGGAGGCCCAGGGAGGCCGCACTAATGCCCACAGTACCCCCAGAACCACATGTGCTTGGAGGACCGGGGAGGACGCGTGAATGCACACAGGGCCCCCGGGGCTACGTGGCCCGGGGAGGCCACGACACAGCCCGCAGCTCCTCCAGGGCCTCCTGTGCAGGGAGATGTGGGGAGGCTGCACAAAAGCCTGCAGGGACTCGAAGGCAAGGTGTGCACAGAGGCCTAGGGAGACTGCACGAAAGCTCTTAGTGTCCCTGGGCCCCGTGCGCATGGAGGTCTGTGGAAGCCGCACTAAAGTCCGCAGGCACCCCAGGCCACGTATGCATGGCAGGCCGGGGACGCCACAAGAAAGCCCACTGTGCTTTGGGGGCACGTGTGAATGGAGGCCTGGGGAGGCCGCACAAAGTCCGCAGGGCTCTGGGCCACGTGCGCACGGAGGCCCAGGGAGGCTGCAYGAAATCCCGCAGGCCCGCTGGGGCAATAGGCACGTGGAGGCCTGAAAAGGTTGCACTAAAGTGGGCATGGACACTGGGATAGATGTGCACGGAGGCCCAGGGAGGCCATASGAATGKCTGCAGGGCTACTGCAGCCACATGCACGTGGAGGCCTGGGGAGGCCACATGAAAGCCCGTAGCCTCTGGGGCCACGTGTGCCCAGAGGCTGGGGAGGCCGCACAAAACCACGCAGGGTCCCAGGGGCCACGTGCGCATGGAGGCCTGATGAGGCCGCAGGAAAGGCCGCAGGGACCCCAGGGCCACAGGAGCACAGAGGCCAGAGGAGGCTGCACCAAATCCCACAGGGCTCCTAGGGCCACATTCGCACCGAGGCCCGGGGACGCTGCACAAAAGCCTGCAGGGATCCAGGTCCACGTGTGCCCGGAGGCCCGGGGAGACCGCACAAAAGCTCACAGGGACCTCGGGGCCACGTGCGCACAGAGGCCCGGGGAGGCCGCACGAAAGCAGGCAGGTCCCCTAGGACCACGTGCAGCCAGAAGCCTGAGGAGGCTGCACGAAAGCCCGTAGGGCCCCCTGGGCCCTGGGCCATGTGCGCGTGGAGGCCTGAAAAGGTGGCACAAAGTGGCGCAGGGACCCTGGCGTCACGTGTACATGGACTCCCAGGGAGGCCGCACGCACGTCCGCAGGGCCCCCGTGACCACATGCGCACGGAGGTCCGGAGAGGCCGCACCAAAGCCCACAGCTCCTCTAGGGCCACACGCGCAGGGAGACCTGGTGAGGCTCCATGATGCCCGCATGTTCTCCAAGGCAAGGTGCACAGGGAGAACTGGAGAGGCCCCATGAAAGCCCGCAGGGTGCCCTGGAGAACGTGTGCACGGAGGCCCAGGGAAGCAGCATGAAATCCCGCAGGGCTGCCAGGGCCAGGTGGACATGGAGGCCTGAGGTGGCCACGCATGAGTTTGGAGGGCCGCTGGACCAGATGCGCACGGAGGCCCAGGGAGGCTGCACGAAAGCCCACAGGGTCCCTCGGGGCACGTGTGCACGGAGCCATGGGGAGGCRGCAYGAAAGCCCACAGGGCCCCTGGGGCCATATGCGAACAGAGGCCCGGGGAGGCCGCATGAAAGCCCTCAGCTCCTCTGGGGCCAACTGCGCAAGGAGACGTGCAGAGGCCGCACAAAAGCCTGCAGGGCCTCGAAGGGAAAGTGCGCACGGAGGCCTAGGGAGACTGCACAAAAGCTCACAGGGTCCCTGGCCCCGTGCGCATGGAGGTCCATGGAGGCTGCACCAAAGTCTGCAGGCACCTCAGGCCACGTGCGCACGGAGGGCTGGGGAGGCTGCATGAAAACCTGCAACGCTCTGGGGGTGTGAATGGAGGGCTGGGGAGGCTGCAAGAAAGCCTGCAGAGCTTTGGGGGCACATGCAGGAGGACTGGGGAGGACGCACCAAAGCTTGCAAGGTCCCCATGGCCAGGTGCGAACGGAGGCCCAACAAGGCCGCACCAAAGTCCACAGTGCCCCCCAAGCAACGTGTGCAGGGAGTCCTGTGGAGGTCGCACGAATGCCCAAGAGCCCCCCAGGCCACGTGCGCACGGAGGCCTGGGGAGGCCGCATGAAAACCCACAGGGACCCAAGGGCTACATGTGTATGGAGGCCAGTGGAGGCCACATAAAAGCCCGCAGGAACGCAGGGGCCATGTGTGCACGGAGGCACAGGGAGACCGCACGGAAGCCTGCAGGGCCCAGGGGGCACTTGCACATGGAGGCCCGGGGAGGCCACACAAAATTATTTAGGCCCTGTGGGACCCAGTGCGGACAGAGCCCCAGGGAGCCTGAATGAAAGCCCAGAGGTCCCCGCGGGCCAAGTGTGCACGGAGGGGCGAGGAAGCTGCATGAGAGCCCAGAGGCCCCTGTGTCCCACTGCCCACGGAGGCCCAGTGTGCATGCACAAAAGCCTAGAGCACCCCTGGAATGCAGTGCATATGGAGGCCACACGAAAGCCCGTCGTGTTCCCAGGGCAACGTCCACATGGAGGCCCGTGGAGGCTGTACAGAAGCACCAAGGGACCCCAGGGCCCAGTGCGCACGGAGTCCCAGAGAGCCCACACAAAGGCTCGGAGCGCTCACAGGGCCCAGTGCACACAGGCTACTGGGGAGGCCACAYAGAAGCCTGCAGGAGCCCAGTGCACTTTGAGGCCCAGGGAGGCTGCACAAAAGCCCACAGGACCCAACAGCCACATGCGCATGGAGGCCTGCRGAGACTGAACGAAAGCCCAGAGGGCACCTGGGGCCACGCGTGCCTTGAGGCTCAGGRAGGCCACATGAAACCCCGYAGGGCCCCTCTGGTCCAGTGTGCATGGAGGCCCAGGGAGTCYGCACGAACRTCCATAGCATCCCTATATTCCCATGCGCATGGAGGCCCCAGGAGGCCACACAAAAGAACCTAGACCCCCCAGGCCAGTGAAAATAGAGGCCCTGACAGGCTGCACAAAATCCCGTAGGGCCTCCTAGGCCCAGTGTACACAGAGRCCCTGGGAGGCCACATGAAGCCCCTATGATCCCCTAGCCCAGTGACTTCAGAGGCTCTGCGAGGCCGAATGAAAGGTTATAGYGCCTTCCCTGCCCAGCGTGCATGGAGGCTCTGAGAGGCCGCATGCAAGATTGTAGGGCCACCCCTGGCTGAGGCCAAGGCACGGAGGCCAAGGAGGTCGTAAGAAAGCTCRTAGGCTCCCTCCAGCCCTGTGTGCATGGAGGCAAAAGCCTGTAGGGCTCCCCAGGTCCTGTGAGAACGGAGACCCTTGAAGGCCACACAAAGGCCTGTCTGGCTTCACGGACCAGTGAAGCACAGAGGACCACTCACGCACAGAGGCCCTGGGAGGAGGCACGAAATCCAGAGCGCCCCTCTGGCCCCGTGTGCATGGAGGCCCTGAGAGACCACACGAAAGCCTGTATGGTCTCCTCAGCCCCATGCGCAGAGAGGGYGCAAGAAAGAACCCGTAAGGCCCCCTCAGCCCAATGCGTATGAGAGCCCAGGGAGGCCCCATAAAAGCCCACAGGGCTCCCCCGGCCCAGTGTGCACTGAGGCCCTGGGAGACCGCACGAAGGCCCAGAGGGCACCCCCTGCCCAGAGCACACACAAACGCCCGTAGGGACCCCCCGAGCATGGAGCCCATAGGGATGCCCTGGCCCAGCACACACGGAGGCCCAGGGAGGCCGCAGAAAATCCCTAAGGGACCTCCCGGCCCCGTGCGCACGGAGGCCCAAGGAGGCCAAAAGAAAGCCAGTAGAGAGCCCGGCCCAGTGCGCATGGAGGCCCGGGGAGGCTGCAAGAAATAACCCAGGCCCATCCAGCCCAGCGCACACGGAAAGCCTGGGAGGCTCCAAAAGCCTATTGGGGCCCCCCGGCCCAGTGTGCATGGAGGCCCTGAGAGGCCGCATGAAATGACGGGCCTAATGCTAACCCTAACACTGCCACTAGCCCCTAGCTGCTAATCCAAACCCCAACCCTAAGTGTCTAACCCTGCTTCTCACCATTAACCCTTAAACCTAACCAGAACAACCCTCATCTTAAACCCTAATCCTAACCCCAAACCTAACCCTAAGCCCAAATGCCCAAAGACTCTGACCCTAAATCAAACACTGAATGTCCAAGTACCATCCACTAACAGTTCACAGGTGACCACAGCATCCCAGTGCCCTCAGAGGGTTTTTTATTAAAAAAAAAAAAAAAAAAAACCAACAGTGAAAATGTAGTTTGCAACACATCTGATTCAAAATCTGATTATGAAAAAAATACAGCGAATCTCATGGCACACCACGGAAAACAGAGCTCTGCCTTCATGTCGGGCTGCCAAAATGCGTGAACACCTTTGAGAATAAACCAAAAAGGRCCCACGTGAAGGGGAAATCCACCCTTCCGACCGACAAGGCTGGTCCCTCGTGATGAACACCTAGGGGCGGCACTGAATCGAATCCCGAAGGGCCCAGCCTGGCACTGGCACCGACACGGCCATGGCGGCCGCCGCCGGCCGAGGCTCTGCCCGCAGCGCCCACGCGCCGCCATTCCCACCGCCCCGCGAGGCACGCGGAGCAGCGGCCCCAATGAGGGCCCGCCTTGCTGTTGCCATGCCCACGGGGCCGCTCCTGGCCAATGGGGAGCGGGCGCCGGCGTTACCGCGGCAACAGCGTCCCG